TCACAATATGCGTCTTCGCATTTGCATATTATGCAAAAACGCGTAAAAACCGCTAATCACCGTGCGGCTCTATAATGCACCACCTTCATCCCAACTGATGCCCTTCCACCTGGATGCCAGAAAGGATCAAAACACGACCAATATTAGCCCAAGTGTTAGGCTATAGCGCAGGGATCATTCCTGCTAATAGCGATCTGCGAGTTTACTGCAAAAACGCATGATCGCACCGGGGAGCCTGGTGCGTTCCAGCCTGGGTTTATCTACACAATTCCAAAAAATCTTTCAAAGGGCTAATAAGTGATATAATTCTGTCGCCGGATCTAAGCCAAAAAAGATGCCGGAATGTGCGTAAATAGACCTTATTACTCATATATTGTCACGATACTTCTGTTTATAGGAGCCAGTTCGAAATATGATGCTGTATCAGGGTGATACTGGTTTAGCGGCTGAACGCTATCTTATAGCGGTCAGCGAACGATCGGTAGCGCGAGTGCCGATTGCGCACTGCGATAGATTCAGTTCATGCGCTGAATGCGTGGCACTACGTGATCCACACTGCGCCTGGGATTTGGAGACTAAAAGATGTGTGCTTCTAAATGACCTGGACGGGTGAGTAGCTTAATTCGGGGTTCAGCTAGTTCCGAAAAAGGGTTTTGTTTTTACGAGGACATAGAAAAGATCTAGGAATAACTCACACCACTAATTTCTAGTACCGCTTTCAGGACATATGAGCAGGATATCTCAACAGGATGGGCACAGGGCTGTGTTAGCACTCATTCTGCTCTTCAACAACTGTTTTTCGACGCTGCTCCGGCTAGCAGCGAACACGATCGCTTGCAAGGTATTTTTAAGTTCGAACATTTAAACGAGGAAAGGCAACCACACTGACATCATATTGTGGTTTAAGCATGCATCCAGGTCTAAAAATAATACTAAATTTGGTAGAATTTTCTCATTTTCCGAGAAATTCCAAACCACCTTCACAGTAGCAGGCTACTGGATTGTTTCATCACAGTGTCAGACTGTTGGATCTTTTACTGTCATACTGCTACTCCTCTGCCTCCGGATCGGGCTTTTAACTACTGAAAAGCGTACACAAGACAAAGCCAAATAAGCTACACACAGTGGTACACGGAACATCAGACAAACGCGCTGCACACCCACTCGAGACGAAATATAATAATTAGCTATTTATTACTAAACGAAATAACGCGGTCGATGGCGTTAAGCAGTAAAATCACAAGGCAAACAGAGAGCTTACAGACCAGATGTCACAAATAAGTTCATCTTTGGTTGTATATGTAGTGTACGGAGCCATCTTCAGCAAGATAAGTATGGACCGGGAAAAAATCGAACCACTTGCTTTTATATCCGCACGTGATGCGCCATCCATCGCAGCACTGGTCTTTGTGTTTTAAGAGCAGAATTTTTTGTATCTAGCTTTAAAACTGCATAAACTTCCCATTGTTATTATGTGATTTTTTTTTTTTTTTTTTTT